TTTTCTTGTTCCGAAAGGAATTTTGATATCCTAATAGATGTAAATTGAAGAAGGCCATCTCAGCTCCTCCTTGTCCTCTTCTGGAATGTCCAGGCTGGAGCACTGGACACTTCTTTTTGGTAACCATGGTAATATTCTGAAGAATTACTATGACTGATGCTCCCTTTGTCTAAGTAGGCACAGGCTTTATGTGTTCACAGTGGAGCTGGACTGGGCTAAATAAACTTCAGGAAAATGGAGGAATCAAATGCCAGTTACCCTTTTCCTTGCCCTAGTCTTATTTATACTGTAGGCTTCAGAAGGCAGTGAGAGAAAGAGCACTGACTTGGGCTCAAATCTTAGTTTTGCCATATTCCAGGTGTGTGACTTGGAAGATATTAAACCTCAGTGTTTTTACTTAAAAAAATGGCAATGTTATCTATTTCACAGTTACGAGAATTAAATAACGTACATAAATTTCCTTAGCATAGTGTTCAGAATCTAATGAATCCTTAACAGTATTTAAATCTGAATATGGTACTTCCAATGAATCTTTATTTCCAGCAACAGTGTGCTGAACCAGTTGTACCAACTTTTGAGAGCTGCTTGTTGAATTTTCAGAACTTTGACTTGGTTGTTAAATAAGCCATTATTAAGAATTAAGAACCTAAACTTATAAGTTATAATTATAATTATAATATTTAAATTATATTAAAAATAAAGGTAGTAAATCCTAAAAATTCTTCTCTTCCTAATTATTTTACATTTTACTACAATCTATGCTTATGAGATTATTTAGATCTATTATATCTAGATAGTCTGTTGTTTTCATTCTTTCTTATCTTTGCTTTTCAGGTTGGAAAGTTTCAGTGGTCATATCTTCAAATTCATTGATTCTTTCCTTGGTCATGTCCAGTGTACTGATAAGCTCATGAAGGACATTATTTCTGTTAGTGTTTTTTTTTTATTTCTAATATTTCCTTTTGATTATTTTTTAGAGTTTTCATCTCTTTCACTACATTACTCACCTATTCTTACATTCTGTCTACTTTTTTCCATTTGCGTTCTTAGCATATTAATCAGTTATTTTAAATTTCCAGTTTGATAATTCCAAAATTTTTGCCATATGAGTCTGGTTCTGATACTTGCTTTGCCTGTTTAGTCTGAAGTTTTTGCCTTTGAGGATACCTTGTAATTTTTTTGTAAAAAGTCAGAAATTATATATTGGGCAAGACAGATCTTAAGTTTTATGTTTATCTGGCTGGGAGTTCAGCCATGTTTCCTATTTGCTATAGCTGTGTCAGAGGCTAAAATTTCCTTAAATGTCCTTGTCTTTGTTTCCTTTGTTGTCTTTGGGTTTCCCTAGAGACTCCTTTTTAAGCATTTGTGTTTGTAGTTTTCATTGTAATCCTGTTGTTAAACAGGAGCCCTACTGATGCGCAGGTAAAGTGGGTAGAAGGGAAGTGTTCTATGATCCTATTAAGTCTCAGTCATTCAGTGAGTTTGTATCCCTGGACTGTGTCCTTCACAATGTTTCTTTCAGTGTTTTCCTCTTCTTAAGTGACACAAGAAGGCTAAAGGAGGTTAGAGCTAATTATTTTCCTTCTCTCACATTGCTTAGGATGTTAAATAGTTTTCTTGTGGCAGGCCTTTGTTAAGCAGAATTGAATACTCTGTGTTTATTTCAAAATGGTTACTTTTTCCCTTCTCCCTGCCAGAAGGATGAGGGCATTTTTTTCCAGTCTTCATAGTAATTAATACCTGTGGGGCTCTTGGAAGCAAAACTCACAAAAATGTGGGGGGCCCTTAAGGCTGGGCCCCCAGTTCTTTTTAATCTCTTAATCTAGTTCATGCTCTGTTTTAAGCAATTAGACAGCTGCCTTTTAAGTATACCTACCAGTTTCTGGTTCCAAAGGTAATTTTTGCTCCTAGTAAACCATGATTCTCTCTTCTTCCTGTTGTGATTTTACCTGTCTCTTGTTTTTGTGGTGGTGATTTGCCCTGCCACTTCAATTCTCTGATGGATCTAAGAAGGGCGGATTTTTGGTTTGTTCAGTTCTTTTTGGTTATTTTGAGAACAGAGTGATGACTTTTTAGCTCTTAACATGTCAGACTGGAAACCAGAAGTCCCCGTCTGTTGTGTCTGTATGGAGGAAATACTACGTAATGGTGTGTTCATCTCTTCCCAGTTTCATGATCAGTGATGTTATGTTGGTAGCTTGAAACTGGCCATGGTGGGAGAACTTACACTACATAAATTGGCAAATGCTACAAAGGTTTGTTTTGTTTTGTTGATTGTCTAGACTTAAGAAAGTGTCAGAGAAAATGTTAATAATGTAGATTAAAAGTATGTCAAGTCTTTAGTCATTACATTGTCAGTAGTACAGAAAATTGGAATACTCTTTCAGTATTCAATAGCTGTTATCCAATTCAGCAAAGACTGTGCTCAAGTCACTGACCAATAAGTGAACTTCACACATAAATCTCGTTTCACTTTCATGTTACTGATAATTGCAAATGAAAATGTCAACCAGCAGTCAAAAAGCTATATTTGTTTGTCAAATGCAATAATAGGTTGGTGTTTGATTCAAGAGTCTGGCAAAACTCAAAGCATTCTGTGAGAATCAGTTGGCTATAAGAAATGTATAATAAAGAAAACTATATTTTACTTACCATAAACAGCATGCTACACATCCTTTATATTGGTAGATTTTATAGTAAATTTATGTACATATACATACACATACAATTATTTTTCTGGAGAGCTGTCTGTTCATAAATTTACCAGTCCATGCATACCATGGCCAATTATAAGCTATCAATGTATTATCACTGAATGTGGAGTTGGAGATCGTTATGAGTAGTATACCATCTTTTCGTATTTTAATTTGGGGACTATATAAATGCTGGGGAGAAACTTTTAACAGTAGTAAATGGTAATGATTGACAAAACTGAAAAATGTCATTCATAAGCACAATACAAAGTACAATCAAACCATTTTATATATATATATATATATATA